TTATATAGGTTTTTAAATGAGTTAACCTGTATATGTATTTTATATCTACAAATATGTTGGGTAGAACATGGGTAGATGGAATAATTGGTATGTGATGAGAGATGGTATTGTGTAAACCCTGGCGAGTTAATGGATCAACTCGGCGAGTTGAGTCAACTAGAATGTTGACTTTGACTTGGACATTGACCAAAGTTGACCCTCAAGGGGTCATGAGTATGAAAATGGTAATTAAAGGAAATGTTTATGTGTAGGAGTCTAAGAGGGGTTGATTTCAGAGCAGGAGTCGTTGCATCTATTTCTAAGTTATCGAGGTGAGTTACCCTCCAGTAGAAGCGGGTCAAAGGCACCAATACCAGCATAGTAGTAGTTGATTATAGTTTAGATGATTGTCTTTTTGATAATTGTCTAGTATGTCACTATCTGTTATGCTTTATGTGCTAGTATTCTATGATATTATGTGATAGTGGTAGGAGGGGTAGGATAGTCCCTGGTTACCGGTTGAAAGAAACCGAAGGGGTAGGCCAGCACCCATATATGCTAGGAAGTAGGAGAACTGTATGTATATGTTAGGATATTATGTGGTAGTGGTAGGGGTGAAATAGTCCCTGGATACCGGTTGAAAGAGATCGAAGGGGTAGGCAGACAACCAGATATGCTAGGCAGTTACCGGTTGAAAGAGACCAAAAGGGTAGGCTAGCACCCAAATATGCTAGGCAGGTTATCGGTTGAAAGAGACCGAAAGGGTAGGACATCACCCATATATTCTAGGTAGTATGTTATTGTATGGTATGTAGTATGATGTGGGAACTTACTAAGCTTTGTTCTTATGATTTTCAGTTTTGGTTTCAGGTACTTCTTCTTCGAAAGGAAAGGAGTCGGCATGACTGCATCGCATCTAACCACTATTTTCCGCACTATGATGTTCTTGGGATTTGTACTCTAACATTATTATGACTTGTTTCGAGACGTATGACTTATGGTTTTTATGATATGGGATAACTCAATGATGGTTTCAGTAATCTATTTTATGAATTATTAAATTAAAAATGAACTTTTTGGTCTCGGATTTTGGGAAGTTACACTAGATCTAGCATGGTTGAACACAAAAGATCGAAGCTTGAGGATTTACAAGAGTCTAGAAATAACACAAGATGATGATGATGAGATTTGATTGTTGGAACAATGCACCAAAGACACCTTATTCTTCTTCAATGGACCCAAAACCACCACAAAAGCTCACAAGATCAACAATAGAGGCTAGGGTTTTCTCTAGGTCGAAAGGGAGGTGATGGAGGCTAAGGGTGAGCAACCCTATCCATCACATTTCTTAAATAGGGCGCAAACCCCAACAATTTGGGTCTAGCATAAAACAACTGCCACTATGTGGCCAGAACCTTGCCATGTTTTAGCACAGACCAAAATTCATGTTTCTTAATGAGTGAGGCCATGACGTGGTGCTTTCCCCCACCATGTTGTGGCCAACTAAAACTTCATATTTTAGTCTTTAAATGCCAAAAGCACAAAGGGAAATATATACCTGGAACTAATGTCACAAATTAACACAAGCCTTCATATGTGGATCATGAAGCTCCATAAATTTAGTAGGGGGAAACCTTAATAGGAAGACGAAGCTCTGTAATCTTTAGTGATGTTCTTAAACCAAAAAAAAAATCCCATATTTTTTCTATTGCCTCGAATCACTCTCTATTGGATCAAAGCAAACCTGCAAACCTACAACCCTTCTTATTTCGTCACATTACTCTCTTGGATCCATCCATATTGTTTGGAAATACTGTAATCAAGTTCAATCTTTTTTTGAGAAAATAAATACTTTCGATTTTCCAAAAATAAGAAAGAATCATGGGGATGATGGACTGTGACATCCCTAATTATTGTGGCCAAACAAAACTTTTTTTTTTATGTTTAATTTAAACAAGTTATCCTTTAAAAGAATATTTTAGGGTTGAATTGTCCAAAAACATTTTTCTTTCATGATAAAATTAGTTCCAAAATATTTCCAACGAAATGTTTTGTTTTCATTAATATTAAAATTCTTAGATGTCATACTGGATACACAACTCATAAGCATAAACAGTTTACTACTTACCTCACAATTGTTAATTATACTATCGACCATAATATCCTTAATTCAGTCAACATATTAAAATCACTATCCCAGAGTCTTTGTATCGCTACTTGTGATAAAAACAAACTGAATGTGTCTAGCTAAGAAGCCTGGTGAGTACATACGGTTTTCAACCCACAATATATAATTAAATCCTTATATATATATAGGCTTAGGTTATTTTGTTTTTACTAACTATTGTGTGCCAGAATGCACAGATCTAGACCACTGGATGAAAAAAATCAACAGTCATGATCTGAGGGTCTATGATATTACAATAGAGTAGCATGTATCATATAATCACAATTTTTTTAGCAAAAGGGTAATTTGGTCAATTAACCTATTTTAAAAAAGGAAATTTTCGGATTTTAAGGGATCATTAATTCCCTTATTTTTAAAAATCTGAATTTTTTAAATTAATTATAATTAAATTTTATATTATTTTTAATAATAACCGATTTTATTCTGCCAGAATGACAAAAGATCAACAATAAACTAGTAAATATATTTGCGGTTTTATTCTTGCAGAATATGGTTTCATTCAAGATACTTTTTATATTAAACATGCTTAAGAATTATACAATATATTATCAAGAATAACATTTTCCAAGGAATATAAATTTTATTATTTTAGAATCACTATTTACATTCATCTGTAAAGAATAAGTCTATAAACAATTAGTACATTCATTCTAAAAAAATTATGACAAACAATGGTTTAAGGATTACATTTACTCTTAAAGATTAAAACTAAAAATGGTTAAAAAAGAAAAAAAAACATCAAAATCTAACAAAAACACTAATCAATTCCGAAAGAATATTATTGTTAAGAAACAATTTATAAATTCCGAGAGAATACATTCTGTTAGAATGCACTATTGTTCTCCATGTTTCCTTCATTTTCCACATTAATGGCAACTTCTTCAAAACCTAAATCCACAAAGAAAACATAATCAACTTTCAGATATTAAAATTATTAGTGCATTAAATAGAATAAAACAATAAATTCTAACAGAATGCATTTATATAAATAAATTTTAACAGAATACATTACAGAATGCACTTAAATCATAGTCTTTTCTTCTGTATGCATAAACATTCTAAAACATGTATCAATGTATTGTGTTAGAATTATTAGCAACACATAGTTTATGTAATATTTATATTCTAATAAAATGAACATGTGTTTGCATTCTGATATGAAAAAAAAAAATTCTCCAGCTTAACCCTTTTCATGCAAATTCTGACAGAATGTCAGCTTAACCTTTTTCATCAAAGACAAATTTAGAACAATTAACTATCAAAGAATAAATGGAAAATCAAGAACAATCTATCATTATTTAAGTCAGATTCTAAATTACAAAATCAACTTGAATGATGGATATTTAAAATTAAAGAAGAATGAGAGCACAATGGGCATACTAGTGAAATCAGAAATCAACAGGAAGGATAATCGGAAATCAAAGAATCGAAAATCAGTGAATAAATCAAATGGAAGATCCATGTGAAGAAACGTAAAACACTAACATTCAGAGGAAGAATTGCAAGCAATCAAGATGTAGAAGAATAGGAAATTAAATACTGCAGGGAAAAAATCGGAAAACCTTTCATGGGAACGGGAAAGATCGAGACTCGCAGAATCGCATCATCGTTGGTTCGATTACACACACAATAATCGCATCATCGTTGGTGCAGATTGCATCTTTGCCCCTCATCTCTTCGAGAATCGCAAGTTAGATTAGTTTATCTCTCCTCGACAACATATGAAGATGATGACGTTGGTATTGGGCGACAATGGTTGTCGGACTTGGTGAGGAGAAACAAGGAATACGACAATGTTGATGGTGATGAATGGCCGTCGTTTTTGTAGGGTTAACAAACAAATCACCCTAATTTAAAGGATATTAAATGTTTTAAATATTTACCATAATTAAGTGTGACAAAATTACTATTACACCCTTTTTTTTATTTATTATTGAATTTTATTTTTCTTAATTTTGATTGGTTGTTAGAGGCACACAATACTTATTGAAAACATTTGAACCTAATTCTATATATATATATATATATATATATATATATATATATATATATATATATATATTATGAATGATAATGAAATAGATTATTACTTAAAAAATATATGATTTAATTAAGTATAATCATGTCATGCTACTTTATCTAACACAAATATCATAAGTACAAATAATAAACACGTATAACATTTAAACATTTAAATACTTTTTGTATCTATTTGTAAGATGAAAGTAATTATGCACTCACCTTGTTTAAAGGTGGATGATTTGCGGGAAAGTTAGTTCTTCGCCTAACACTTTAGCTTTCCCTTTTAAATGACCTACATATAATTATTACAAATTTGAAGTCTTTGTTTATATTATTTGAGACTATAATAATAATAACTTAGATTCCTCGTTAATTCCAAAGAATACCAAGTTCTATCAAATAAGAAATGACCATGTACGATTATATTGGAGCTAGGATCTGTTTGGTATATGAACATACTGTTTGGAAAATTCACTTAAAACATGTCACGAGGACCTTGCCTAGATATCACTCCTGTAAATAGATCAATCAACATTATGCCTGGAGTTACTGATAAATCTTATTAATAGGTTCATAATAATAACAACGAAACTAAATGTAAGTTACACATAACAAGCATAGTAAGTGCAACTCACCTTACATGGTATTTAAGCAAAAGCTTAAAGAGTCGCGAACAGAACTTTGACGTTGAACATTTTTTTTGGGCTTTCTAATGCTGCAGTGTTCACTAATATGTTTGGGAACTCAGAAAGTTGGGTCTCGGGGGTGCAGGAAAGAGTTGAGAGGAAATTGAGTGAAAAAGATGTAACAAATGAGGCTATTTATATTTTTTCTCGATAGGGGCGTCGCACCGTGGTGCAAGGTTGCGTCGTGTCGTGGTGGTGTGTTTCATTCATGGTGGTGTCACATGTCGTCGATTATGGTAAGGGAAAAGGTATCCAGCTCTGCCACATGTCATAATATTATGGATCGACGTTACCTTCGCAAGTAAATATTTACATTCTTTGAAAAATCGTATTTCTCGCATAGAAGCTCTATTTTCGTTTTTCTTTATATTCACAAATTCATATTTATGTGTACTGCAACTTTCCTTTAGATCTCAACATCTAATTCGCACTCTATTTTAATTTTATAATCTATAAGGACTACAGTGTAAAAGACTTTGTGGAATTCACAACTTCTTCATACGAGCTATGTTCTCGATATTTTTTATATCTACGGATTTGTATTTACGAGGACACTGAATCTTCTTTACATTACTTTGACTAAAAAGTAATCTATCATCATTTCATATTTTATGGAAAATACTGATATGCTGTATCGAACGAGTAACTTCGAAAAATCATATCTTCTTCGTATGATGTCAGATTTTGGCGTTCTTTATACTCACATATTCGTAATCACGATCACTACGAATTTCGTTTAGATTATTTATTCTAAATAATCTTTAACCATAAATGTGCATTTAGCTTAATTTGTTAAGTTTTAGAATAAGCTTTTACACAACTATTATATACCCATAACCTTTACCCAAACTTCATACACGTAAAATATATATATATATATATATATATATATATATATATATATATATATATATATATATATATATATATATATATGTATATAAACATATCATGTTTGATGAATTCTTATTCATTTATTTATAAGAAAATTTACATTACCAACTGACATAAATAATGATTTTTCTACAAAATGCATGGCAAAAAAAGCGGGCGTTATATGGACCAATTTGAAATTCGTTGGAAAAAAACCGTTTAAACCAAGAATTTCCTTGAAATCAGTTTTATCCAATGCAAAAGAAATTGTAAATAAATTTCAGAAGAATGAAACTGATTCCAGATCTTCCAAACATAAAACAGAAGTGAACTGAACATTCACACGAGATAGATAAAACTAAAGTCAGAATACACAATCAGTTAAATGAATCTTATTGAATCCATAAACTTGTTTTCTTCTAGTTTAGGTTGTAGTTTTTGGTAATCGATTACCAATGACATCGCTAGTAAATTCTATGGATAGAACAAACTGAAAGTTGACAAAAGGATAGATGTCTGGCACGAGTAATGTAGCGTTTGTTTTTTTTTTTTTTTTTTTTTTTTTTTTTTTTTTTTTTGTAGTTGGTTATTGTAGAATAGAGTTTTGGAATGAAATTTAATTGAATTTCTTTTTTAACTACAAAAATCCATGCCATCAATGAAAAGAGACTATTACAGGTTATGACATTTTTAGTCGGTAAAAATAAACTTCATATCCTTAAAAACCATATAGAAAAGCACAAAGTGACTTTTAAATCAAAACTCAATAGTTATTTGGGTTAGAATGTTAAAAAAAAAAGGTAAGAAAATATTTGATTTTTTAAAATGAAAACATAATAAGAGCATCTTTACTAAATGATTTTTTTGTGACTAGTTACTATTAATTTTTTTTATTGAGCTAATCCCATTGAAATATATAGTTTATTTGTTTTTTATTGGCTATTAAGTGGTCGATATATTTTCATGTTTTAAAAAGTTAACCCCTAATTTTCTAATCATATTTCATTTTACCCTTTAATTATATTTTAATTTTGAATTTTTTATTAATTATTTGGTATTTGATTAGCTTTATTAAATATTTTATATTGATTATATAATATTTGTAATACTTTTATTTTACTTTTATAACTATAACATAAGATTTTTTTTGTATTTTAGATAGATAAATAAAGACATGTCACTATTTAAAACGAGTATGAGAATGTTTAGGACGAAATGTATAATAATATCTAATTTTTCTAATTAAAAAACTAAACAAAAACCAAATTAACCGAAATTAACGAACCATAACTAAAAAAGATTGTGTGGTTTCTTTTTTTGATTAATCAACTACATATAATTCGGTTTTCACTTTCATCCAAAACCGAACCACTAAACACTGAATAATATTAATAATATTTTTAATATAATATAATATTAAATATATGATATGTAATTATATTTGAAAATAAAATTTTAAAATGTAATTATTTAGAATTAAATGAGATACCAAATCTTCTATCTTATTAATATAATTTTAAGCACCCAATTGCTTATTTTTTTTTTTTTTTTGACCATGACCAAATATTCTTTATTTTTATCTCATGGATCATTATTATTAATTAATATTCACCTTTAGTTATATCCATTAACATACAAAAACAAAATGAATATTGAGTAAAAACCAATGGCTAAAAAAACTCATTAACCACTTATTATACCACCAAAACGTCTCATGGAAACTCTATTATAAATATGTTAGATAAATTTTTGAAATTAAAAAAAAATAAAAAACCTTTCAAAATAAAATTAACACTAGATAATTTATGTTTGGTTAATTTTTCTATGCTACACGTCACAATCTTATCTATAAATAAAACTCTATATTTATACAAGAGTTTGAAGATCGTTGACGATTCCAAAAGAAGCAGCTTCGGACCCGAAAACCAAGGACGAAAGGAACCAAATCGCACACAAGGTACCTACCAGAAGAGTCTTGTCCAAATTCTTCGAGTTTTGATCTAAATATTTTTCTTTAATTTTCGTATGATATGATCCGTACATGAATTTGATCGATCCGTCGCTTGCATGTTCTTTATGCCGGGTAATAAATTGATTAGTTTGTGCAAATTTCCCATTGACTTCATCGGACTCGAGTTTGAATTTCATTTACTTTGATTCGAGTAGTTATATTGAATTGCTTGCGGTGAATTGATGATTACAAACGCTTTGTATAAGTGTATTGATGGTAATTTTGTAGTTAGGGTTTTTAATTGCTGTGAATGATGTACTGCAAGAACAAGTTCGTTTTAGGCACAATGATCAATAACTAGTCGCAATAAACCACATCGATTTCATCCATAATTCGGCAATATTTTGCTGATGACACATCGAATAAACTTTGGGACAGAACTATGGATTTGTAGAATTTGATTTGTCGAGAAACGTTTTGCTGAACTTTGCGCTAGGGTTTTACTTTTAGAGGTTAACCATAGGTTTCACTAGAGGTAAATTAAGCAGTCTTGAGTTCCAAACTTCCAAACTTTCTTTTCCTACAGCTGATTATGCAAACATTGAAAAAGGGGTTATGAGTTGCTGTGATGGAGTCCAAGCTTCAATCAGTAATGGAGGTCAGCATGTTGGTGACGAAGGGAACAAAGCTCATTGCGATGTGAATCTTTTCTCAGGTAAGTTCAATGGGCAAAGTCTTATGAAGCCACACCAGAACCAGATGGTCTATGATGCTTCACACATGAGCTTTAGTCTGGTTTCTGTAATCTTCTGTTCGTATAACAATTTAGGAAGATGAAGTTGAAGTCTCCTTTGCCATGACTATTAGTTTCTTGATATGTTATTGATTTATCGGTAATACTTGTACACTGTTAGTCTGTAGGTTACTGAAGTTCTAAATTTTATGCATTTTGCCAAAAAATGAAAACCAGTTTTGATTTTGGGTGAACCCTTATTGTAGGATTTGCTGTTATATGGCTAAGAGAGAATTTGGAAGTGACGTTTCTGAGGATCTGACAAGGGAGTCATTAATCGCTCTATCTTATACTCTACCAGATACAAATCTTTCTTCAACAGACGTCACCAAAAGCTCAAAGAGCGTGAAGAATGTTGCAGAAGCTGTAATTTCTGATGATAGAGAGAAATTTAGAGCTGACTTGATCTCTATATCGTATGCAGAGTCACCTGACACCAAGGATTTACCGGTTTCGACTGAGAAAAACAAGGGTTAGATAGTTTTCCCATTTATGTGATTTGTGTGGGGATCATGATGAACTTTTGGTTACAGCAAAATAAATCAGATGTTTTTTTGTGACTATTGCAAGTTGATTTGTGTTTTCTGAAATGTAAATCCATATTGTTTGTATTTTCTTGTTTTCTACCTTTCTTTTTGTTGTTGTGCCACGTATTTAGCTACGTTTTTGTAGGATGGTTATGTGGACAGACACCGTATCCCTCTCTCTTTTGGTTGGGGGGTTGTAACAGATTTTGATAACAAAATTAAAATATTTATATTAAAGAAAAATAAAATATCTTAAAATATGTAATAAAGTCGCAAGTTTTAAACGTGTGGTTGAAAAAGTCGTAGTTTTTTTTTTTGGTTGATTAAAAGTTAAAAGAAAAATTAAATATCTTTTTACTTTTTTATTCCTATCAATTATTCTATTTATTTATTTAAGTGGTTACATGTGTTACCTTAGTATACTAAAATAGTATACTAAAATATGAAGTAGGAAGATATTTAATTTCTCAAATATAAAACCATAACTTTTTGGATGACCTTACATTTTTAATCTGTTGTTTGTAATTCTTTTTTTTTTTTTTTTGTTTAAACTAAGACAAAACTATAAAATTAGTTCATGTGGTATTTAAAAAACTATAAATAATGTTTAAAAAGTTTTCAACCAGTATGAAAGGTTCAATTTCAGAAATTTTTTGAGGTTTTGGTTCCTCGAGAACTTGAAATGTCTATTTTATCCTTTTAATTTTTTTTTTTGTATTTTAAAATATTTTTAATACTTTATTAATTAAAAATAAAAAAATAAAAAAGTTGGTCTCTCTCTCTCATGGCAACTCCGATTTTTTTTTTTTTGTATTTTAAAATATTTTTTTAATACTTTATTAATTAAAAATAAAAGAATTCTCTCTCTCTCTCTCTCTCTCTCTCTCTCTCTCTCTCTCTCTCTCTCTCTCTCTCTCTCTCTCTCTCTCTCTCTCTCTCTCTCTCTCTCTCTCATGGCAACTCTAATGGCCTAAAGAAGCCATCTTAGAGCATTTTCAATGGTTAAATCATATTATGATTTAAAGTTATTGCCACATCACCATTATAATAAATTAACTTATAATTAAATAACCATTCCAATGGTTAACCTCTTCAAATAGCTTTTTTTTTTTTTTTTTTTATATTAAATTTTAACTAATTTACTCATATCTATCTAAAATTTTCTATAAAACCCCCTTATTTAATTATTCTTCACTTAAACACACATATTTTAATTTTATTAAAAACATTATAATAAGTTGTTTCAAAATAAGTATATTACAATATATCGTTTGGAAAAATTAATACGAAAAAACTATCACGGAATAGTGATAAAAAACATTGAAAAAAAATATATAATCATTATAATTTTATATTCCATATAAGAAATGTCATTAGATATTTAATATAAATAATTAATTAGTAAACAGATAAAAAATATTTAAAACTAAAATATATTTAGGAAGGTAAAATGAAATGTAGCTAAAGTATGAGGGTGTTAAATAACAAAGTGTAGAAGTATATTGACCACTCAATATATATTGGTCAATAAAAAAAAAAGCAAAGTAGCTTTATGCTCCAATGGTAATAAGCTTAAAAAATAAATGTCAATACTAATAAGTTATAAATAAACCACCATTGGAAATGCTCTTAGCAGTATTATATTATGATCCCCCTCTTGCAAGAAGCTACTTGAGATACATTAGTTTTGTAAAAGACAACATTACTTTTGCTCATTTGACAAAAACCTCTAATACACACCTTAACGATCCAGATGCTCCTTCATCGGTACCTCATCTCTTCTCATTGAATGTTCATCATCAATTTTTCAATGTTTGCTGGAGATCAGTTAGAATAGCCTTACTCCACCCGTATTTCTCCAAAACAGCCCACCATAACACCCTCATTTCCATCCCCAGTCATAACACGGAAAAGAAAGGAGAATGAGAGGATGTGATCGAATCAAGAATAATGAAAGAGGACATACCTATAATCGAATCGGAGAATTAAAGCTCAATTCCTTCATAACATTGCTATTTTCCAAATTAGCAACCCTAGGTTTAGTCAATTTCTCATATGGATTGAATTTCTTAACACACAGACACTTATGGGTGGCAAATCGGGGAATTGTGTCGTGTTTTTGTCTGACACGACACGCCAATGTTTTATGTAACACGAACACGACATCGTGTTTATTTTAACTAATATGAAAACGAACCGATTAAAAAACGGCAAATACGACACGACACGATAAAGATAACATAATAAAAAAAATTAGTTTATTTAATTAATATTTAATCTTATATAACACGAAAACACGACAAACACAAAAAACACGACAAATAAATGTTAAATCGTGTCAATTTCGTGTCGAATTTTAAACACGAACACGACACGACATCGTGTTTTTTACACTTAACACGAACATGACACGAACACAAATTCGAATTTCAGTTTCGTCCCAATTCCGTTTCGTGTTGTGTATTTTTGTCATGTCGTGTCAATAATTGTCATCCCTACAGATACTGGATTGAATTTCTCAACTAGAAGGAAGATTCGAGGTGAAATCAATAACCGATATTGAGCCTAACTTTGATTTATCTAAATTTCCTTCAAATGATGTAAAAACATCGGGATTAAGATCTGGAGGGACACCATCCATAAAAATGAACGTCAACTAGATACAAGAGTAGAGAAGAAAATAGGGGTCATAATGGGAACAAGACAAAGTCAAAACATTGCCACAAAAAAACATCGTCGACCCCGGAAAAGAGTAGGATGGATTGAAAATAGGTTCTTTGATGGTATGTGATGTTTTCGATTTGCTTATCAACGAAACTAGGAATGGCAGTTTGATTTTCAATTGAGAGAGAGAGAGAGGTCCAATTCTTTTATTTTTAATTTTTAATTAATAAAGTATTAAAGAAAATATAAAAAAATACAAAATATAAATTAAAAGGGCAAAGTAGACATTTCATGTTCTCTAGGGACCAAAACACGAAAAATTTCTGATTGTAGATCTTGCATGCAAGTTGGAAACTTTTTGTACTATATCAACAGTTTTTTGAATACCACATAGACCAATTTTATAGTTTTGTTTTACATAATATGTAACACATTCTTGACAAATCCACATGTACATATAATTATTATACTAACTTTCTTGAAGTAACAAACAAACAACACTCTTTAGATAATAGAACATAAATTACAATTGCACAGAGTAACATTCTCATGAAAATGATAAATGAAAGAGAAAAAAACAAGTGTAAATATGACATTCTTTCAAGAATGAAAATATATTACATTAGTAAATATGTAATTCATAGAAGAATGACTGTAACTCTTTTGATTTAGAAGACCAAAAGCATAAATGTTACATTTTGATGAGATTGATAGAATCATCTTCCCTAATAAATAAAGAATTTTTTGCCACATGTCATCTTCTCCTTAATTTGGACACATGATATTTTCTAGAATTTTTGAATTTTCTATTTTCCACTTGTCATTTTATTGTATTTTTCATTTTATTAAATTAAAATTCCACATTTAATATGCATGGTAATATATATGTAAGACAATTATTAGAAAATGTTTATATATGTAATGTATTCAATACATTAAAGCCTCATTAATTTTAATAATTCAATTTTTTTCTTATTTTTCTTATAAATTCAAAGTTTTTAAATTGTTAAAATTTCATATTTAATTTTTTTTAAATAAACCCATGTAATACATGAGTTTCACACCCAGTTTCTAATAAATGAAATTTTTTTTGCCACTTGTCACATTCTCATTCAATTTGCCAAATATCATTTTATGGTTATTTTGAATTAATTTTTTCCACATGTCATTTTATGAGTTTTTATTTTATTTTATTAAATTCCACATAATATTTTAATGTAATAATTGCAATAAATATATATTAATTTCATTAATAAGCTTTCCTTTTAATTTCAAAACTCCTAAAATTAAAGGTCATTAGTTTTTTTTTTCTTTATTTGAATTATTTGTTTAAATTTAAAAGATAAAAAACGTTTTTATTATATAAAATCATTTTCTTATTTGTCATTTATATTTAATTTTTTAAAATTAACTCATGAAATATATGTGTCTCACAACTAATTATATATATAAAAAAAGGAATTGCGATCTGAATTAAAAAGAAAGAAGGAAAGAAAAATGAAGGAATACGTGGTGATTCTTAAAACTTTTATTTGGCCTTGAAATAAAACAACAAAGAAAAATATTTTCATAGAAACTACCGATTGAAACTTTTCCATTATTTAATTGAAACATCACACACACACACCCACACACACACACACACACACACATATATATATATATATATATATATATATATATATATATATATATTAGAAACCTTTGATAACAGAACATTGAGATTAAGATGCGTCCTCTGAGGGAGATGGTGGAGAAAAATCAAGCCCTCTTTCTTAACATTGTTATTACAGGTCTAGAATAACAATGGTTGCCTTCGGTCTCTCAATTATATCGATGATAAGTGGTATTGGTGATGAAGATGGCATAGTCGACTAGGAAGGTGGTGGCTTATGGTGGAACACATGGTGTCCGATGGCAGAAAAAACGAAGTCGTCATAGAGTAGGAGCGGTAAGAGAGAGAGATGAGATAGGGGGAGGTGTAGGTTTTTTTTATGTTTTTATTAAAAAATGGTCTAATTATAGTGACAAATTCGACACAATTAGCAAGAAAAACATTTTTTATTTGAATAAACTAAAACAATTTTTATCCACCAAGGATAATATTTCAAAACTTAGGAAAAAGTAAGACAACCATAGAAAAGGAAAAGATTACAACCTTTGAAGTCTTTGGTTCATTGTGGTAATTAAGAAATTGATGAAGATGACAACAAGCTCCAAAGTAGAAGCTCTCTAGAGATATCCACCAAGCAAGGAAATACCACCAAAGATGTTAGTCTTCACTTGTATATATGTTGTTCTTAATCCTTAAGATTTATACCAAATAAACCTTAAAGAGAAGCAAATAAAAGCAATTGTATCTTACACCAAATTGCAAGACAAAGAGGAGAGGGAGAAGGAGAGAATCCTTAGAAATTTGGTAGCTAAATGAGAGAATTTTGTGAGCAAAAGAAGCAACTCTTTCATGCTAGAAATGCCTTTCTTTTATACATCTAAGTATGTACAAAATTCAAGACAATAAAATGGAAGTGTAAGGATTTTCTTACAAGCATGGATGAAATCATTAAAGAATTCAACAC